TGTGTTTGGGCTTGCAAGAAGTGAAAAACTTTGTTTTTCTGCTTCATGGAAGGCCAGTAAGTGTGACAGCCATGGGACCCACATGGCAGGTGTGGTGAATGGAAGGGATGCTGGAGTTGCGAAAGGTGCCAATGTCCGTAGTCTGCGGGTGCTCAACTGCCAAGGAAAAGGCACCGTAAGCGGCACGCTGATTGGTGAGTAGTGGCAAGCGTGGGTTCAATTCATTTCTAAAATTAAATCCATCCTCTCATTTTTATATGGATTTGCAGATTGTCGTAGGTTGTTGTGAGCATTTCTCTCAATTTTATTTGCTGTGTATTTCTGGAGAGAATGTTACATTATACATTTCTATATATTCTTTTTTTAAATACTGTATCCGTTTTGTCTGAATATTGGCTTAATATAAATGTTTTATATATTTATTTTCTGAGTTGCAAACAGTAGCACAAAATTCAAAAGACTCAGGTTTGATTCAGAATTAGGCTGACATTTCCTCATTCCACATTGTAGCTTATAGCTCTGGCCTATACATATTGGGGGGGGGGGGGAGGAACCCTACGGTTATCCAGAGGGGCCACTACTGCATTCTCTTAAGAGGTGGAATTACAGGCCAAGATATTATGTGAAAGACTTTGTATATTTATTGCAGAGATAATAAATAATTTGACAGTATTTGGAAAAAGACCCCAAAGAAAGCAATGCAATTTACTTCTGTATTGTGTCCCTCCAAAAACTGCATGCATTTATCCATGTGGTCACTAGGGATCATGTTCAGTTAGAAAAGGTTAATGCCTTTAATACCTTTGTTGATTCAAGCACGGTTTTAAAATAGTTGCAAGATTTGGAGTTCAAAATTCTTTGTTGGGCATTGTGGTTAAAGGTCAGAGAAGGAAAAAGGGGGCAATACTTTTGGCTAATATTAGAATTATTAAATTCTGAACAGAATTGAGTCCAAAATTTCCAAAATTAAATGTATCTTTTCATAAAGGCATGCATGTATCTGGTTAGGGTTTAAGATGCAAAGAGTTTAATTTATTTTTTACCAATTTAAAAAGTGGAAAAATACATTATTTTTCAGGTTTACATGGTTTCTTTGACAGCTGTCTGTTTTTCCTTTGCACCTCATTCCTTTCTCACAGGAAAAAACACTTTTTAAAAAATAGCCAGAATGTTCTTCCTGTTTGTGTCTTTAAAATTTGGAGTTTGCACTGGGTAAAAGAAATGCAAGGGCGCTAATCCTTTGCCCTTTATCCTTTGCCCTATAGGGTTGGAATTCATTGCAAAGACCCTGGCTGTCCAGCCCTATAGTCCCCTGGTTGTTTTGCTCCCCTTGGCCGGAACTTACAGCCGCATCCTGAATGCCGCCTCCCGTCAGATGGTGCAGATGGGGGTGGTCATGATAGCTGCAGCAGGCAACTACAAAGACGATGCTTGTTTATACTCTCCAGCATCAGAACCAGAGGTAAGTAGACAATGATGTCTTCCTTTCAGCCCAAAACCCAGGGAAAAATGGTCCAGAAATGGTTTGTAATCCTTCTAACACAGGGGTGAGCAACTTTACGACTTTGGACTTCAACTCCCAGAATTCCATTCTGGGAGTTGAAGTCCACAGGTCATAAAGATGCCATAATTGCCCACCTCTGCCCTAATAGGGCTCCAATTCAGCTCATCAAGATCTGCCAGTTACCTCGCTGCCTTAAATGCAGTGTTTTTCAGTTGTCACAATGATGCCCCAACTGATTTAATGTATGGGAAGTTGAGGAAGATTGTGAAGCTTCACCCGTGCCATCCTCTCAGCTGTTTAGATGGTGTGGATCAGGTCTCCTGTCTGCTTGTGGAGTGCCAGGATGTTAGCAAGATACTGGCTTATCCAGGGTCTGTCACATAGCCTTTTCTCTAGCTGTCTAAATACCCTGATGGCGTGATTCCGTTGTGGGTTTGCTGGTGATGCGTGCAATTATGTTATATAGACACACAATAAAGAATAGAGCTAGCCTATTTGATCCCACAGTCTCTTTTGAACTTTTAATATGGTATGATAGAGTTTTATTGACTGTTCCTCGGTCAATAACATATTTTTCCTCCTATCTGTAAACAAACATAAGTTATTGTGTAATACAAATATTTGTATTGTGTGAAGCTGTCCAAGTTTAATATCAGGACAATGAAGAATCAGTCTGATACTTGAAACCTCAATATAATTAAAAACATCCATCTCTTCTTATAATGGCAGATAGCAAGATCAGGCTTAGATAATATTCACGTGGGGATTTGACTAGGAACATGAGGGTTTTTTTAGGGGAGGGGTTTTAATTTCATGACGTCAACATACTTTTCCTGTGGATGATCCCATGCTTAATATTTGACAACAGAATTTGAGCCAGGAGCTTTTTCCAAATTCATGTGGAATTTCTGGAAAGCAGCTCCTGATACCGTAGTAGTTAGATAAGTGGGATAGATAGACTTAATTTAAGCCAATTTATTTGGTTCTTTTTTTTATTTTATAGTCCTCTCATGAGTCATCTAAAGAGGAATGCTTACAGACAAATTATCTAGGAGATATTTTAGAAAAACTAGATTTTGAGAGGAGAAAAGCATAAAATAATAATTGCACAATATTTTTGGTATTTCTGGGTGACATTTTCCTGTGTCACCAAACACCTCTGATCAGTTCAGTCCAGAAAATTAGTTATCTGTGAAAATTTGGAGGGAACGTCTCTCTCAATGGAGAAACGGACTAAAGAATCATTTGCAAAGGATTTTAATTTTTTAAATTTATTACATTGAATAGAGTTAGGCTAAATGGCCAACAAATCTCCCTCTAAATATAGAGCAAGAATAATACCTGGTGAAACTATGCTGGGGCTGGAGGAAGAGGATAAGGAAGCAATCTTTGTGAACCCTCCTTCCTTCAACAGTGCTTGAACAAATGCTCTAAAACGCTTTGAGAAGCTACTGGAGCAGTACGAAGAATGACAAAAGGAAGGAAAGCTGGTGAAGAACATCTTCTTGTTGCTTTCCTCAAAAGCGTATCTCCCCGCTGGATCCAGACACAGAAAGAGAGAAACCTCTTTATACATAGATCCAACTCTGATTCTGAAATCCTGTTTCTCCTACTTGCTCAGGACTGACAAGATACTGTCTCATTGTAGGTAATTACAGTTGGAGCAACCAACGCCCAAGACCAGCCTGCCTCCATGGGGACTTTGGGAACCAACTTTGGACGCTGCGTAGATGTCTTTGCTCCTGGAGATGATATCATTGGTGCCTCTAGTGACTGCAGCACCTGCTTCACAGCTCAGAGTGGGACATCGCAAGCAGCTGCCCATGTCGCAGGTCATATTGTGTGACAGAAATATGAGTAGTCCAGCAAGTTGCGTAGCTCTTGTTTATTGCAATGAGGTTCTCTGAAGATGAACCATCAATAACATGTGCCTTGTTATGGGGCTTTGAGGCGAGAAAGATAAGATTTTCCAATAGTGGGAAAAGTCTTTTTCCCCCCCAGTTTCATTCAAAATAATATTCTCGGATTTGCAAAATTCAAACCTATAGAACAATGCATGATGGTAATGCATTGTTGTCAGTGGGGGAGAAAAAATGGGTAGAGTTTGTTTTTTTGCATTTGATGTTAGGGAAGGTAAAAATTGAAGTATTAAGCCTTAAGGACACCCTTTTTTTTAGTAGTTAAAATGAGCAAAGGATGACACAATGGTTTGTATCAGCTTAGTTAGCTCCAGGGGCTACAAAAACAAAGCAACTAGTATTAGCTCTTAGCACTAGCACTTAGACTTATATACCGCTTCACAGGGCTTTACGGCCCTCTCTTAGTAGTTTACAATGTCAGCTTATTGCCCCCAACAATCTGGATCTCATTTTACCGACCTCGGAAGGATGGAAGGCTGAGTCAACCTTGAGTCAGAATCGAACTGCTGAATTGCTGTCAGTCAGCAGTCAGCAGAAGTAGCCTGCAGTACTGCATTCTAACCACTGGGCCACCAGGGTACAACAGTGGTACAAATTAAACTGGTACAATTTGGACATTTTCATTGCATCTATGTTTTAATGGCACCAGTGGATTGCTTAAACAATTGGTAGACCTTTGACTGCATTTCCCCTTGTCTCGTTCTAGAAGGAGCAGCTAAATAATTTTGTCTGTATTCTATTATCAAGATAAGCAAGTTTAGTCCTTTTTAGATTCCATTGGCTTCCAGAAAAAATATTTAAACTCCTGATGAAGCTGACTTATGAGAAACTGAATTGATGTTTAGGATTTAGAGTAACTTTTAACTGAGTATGGAACAGGGACTTTTTGTTGATGGATAGGCCTCTTTCTCTCTATATATAAATCTAATATCATATTCACTTTTCCAATCACATTCAGAAACAGGAAATAAAATTATTTGACTGAAAGTTCCCCAATGTTTTAAATCAAACTGGCCTGATAAAACATTTATTTTTCCATTAATTTGTTATGAGCTTTAATCACAAAGCAGAAATGCAGGTATGAGATGGGACAAAACCATGAATACAAGGACATTCACATATGTAATCTTTTAAGGCATTAAGACTGGTGTTACTCTGAAATGTTACTGGAGCATTAATTCAGATTAGAAATTGAAGAGCATAGTTGGTTCATGCTTATATTATTCATATGCACACACATAGAAATCCTCCCTGATTCAGGCAGGAAGATCCGAGCATAATTTTTTTTGAAGGGAAAATGTGAGAGAAAGTTGGCATTTGTATTAAGTTGCCTCAGATTCTGCCAAGCAAATAATCAGTATCAATTGGGCTTCCTTTAAAAAACCATACAAGCACAAAGCGTTATTTTGCGGTAATTATACAAATATAAACTGTAGAAATATATAACCTAATCCCTCTTCATGTGTGTTTTTTGGAGGGATAAAAACAGGGCTTGTTTGTTGTCCTAGGTATTGCAGCCATGATCTTGAATGCCAACCCCGCCCTGTCCATCTCCGAGCTGAGGCAAAAACTGATCCACTTTTCTGTCAAAAACCTTATGAACGAGGCTTGGTTTCCAGAAGACCAGAGGCTGTTAACGCCAAACAGAGTGGCTGGGCTTCCCTCCAAAATTGTAGCAGGTGAGAGTCCTGTTGATGTCTTCTTCAATGGTACAGGCCTGAACTATCTGTTGTGGCTCCGTCATGTGGGTCCCTATCATCGGAGGAGGAAGGCTCTGAACATGAAGGAGAGGAGATGGCCAGGCCTCCCTCTCCAGGACCTTCCCCTCTGGTGCGTCCTTCA